ATAAAACATATCTGTATCCAGGACTCTCTATGGACTCAGCATCACCAATGTGTTCAGGAAATAAAACCTTGACAACAAACAGTTAAACCTGAGGGACCTAGGCTCCTTTGCCTCCCAACACAGTAGCTTTCTGTTTTCACTTAATTAGAGATAATGACACATTAATTTGTTCATTCAGCATGTCTTAACAATATAAATCTTTTTTGTTGAAGCACTGGGAAGGAGAAAAGCTTTAATACAATTTATAAATAAAAGTTGCAAATCACACTACATTTCCCACACTGTGGGTATTAATCAGACCGACGGGTGCTCTCTTAAGAAAATTTGCTGTCAAGGAGAGTTTAACATTGTTATACTGTAGCCAATTTAGGAAATTAAAAGAAGTTAATCAAATAAATCGAATTATCACTTTTTAGTTAAATAGTTTGTGTAGTAACAAAAACATAATTTTATAAATATTATAAAACTGAAGTTGTAGGATAAACCGAACAAGTTGAACTCACCTGGTTTAGTTGTGTCAGATGTGTTACTATTGAGGAGTGCTCTCATGATGAACACTGATCACATCTTAGATCGCCTTCACTCGTCCTCCATCAGCTGTCTGCTTTAGATAGAGCTGTTGGTGTACTTGTCTGCTTTACCTTGGAGACTACAACCCATGTGTGTGTGAGCGTGTCTGTGTGTGTCAGTGCACAATGAACAGGGGATTAAGTGGAACTTTTTAAACATTACAGATAATTGCTTCTCCCTTTGTGCCAATGCTACGTCTATTTTACTTGTTAATGTTTATGTTTCAGCTGTCTGCATGATCTGTAAGTGGACTGCTTCCATATATCTGATTTTTATAACTTAAGCACATCTCAGAGTCTCATTATGAAACAAAGAAGCAGATTGGTAACCATAAAGCTCACAGTTAAAATACCCTAATTGTCTTGTAAAAAAAAATGAAATTGTTAAGAGGTAGGTCTCACCATTTTTGTCACTACAGTTTGCTATTGCCACAAATAATTTGAAAACGTGTTTTAAAGAAACCCTTCTGTAATATCTGAAAATCCCCAATAGGTGGGGACAAAACTGCACCACCGATGAAGGTTCTACTTGATTAAAGGTTGAAAAATTATTTGCTGAATTATGGAGAAATTATTCTTCAAATCTTTTTTAAAAAAATCTAATATACATCACTGTTTTTTTTCTTCATATTTGTAGTGAGTCACAATAGAAAGGGTATATTAAGTGATTAAGTGTGCTTGTTTTTTTTTTGTTTTTTTTTTTGTTTTGTTTTTTGTATCCTTTGTGTGTGTCTTGTCCATTTGTCTTGTAGTTGTCCGCTGCTCAGCCGAGCCTCAGTGGACGGTACTCATGAATCATTTCTTATCAGGGTTCTCTACTGTAAGGGAGGTGCAGTGACTCAAACGCCTTTGTTGAATTGTCTTGAATCAGCTCTTGTTTAAATCCTGCCCATGCAGGCTGTGCATCTGTGTTCATTGGCACAATTTGCTGCTTTCAGAGTCAGATCTGACAATACACACTGCAGACCTACATCTAAGCTCAATGGTACTTTGGGCAATTAAGTTCACCCATGCAAGTCAACTCAGTTATGTAACTGTGACGAGCCCTAAAGCAGGGGCTCTTAACCTTTTTGACCTCGGGGCCCAATTTGTTGAACATAAAGTGNGTGTGTGTGTGTGTGTGTGTGTGTGTGTGTGTGTGTGTGTGTGTGTGTGTGTGTGTGTCTGTGTGTGTGAGAGATATAGCTGTGAGCTAACCTTGCCAACTCAGCTGTATTTCTTAACACCTGTGTTTACTACAGTAAAACAGATCATTAGAAATAGTCTATCAAGTAAATTGGAGTTTTAACACAATTGCTGCTCATTTTAATTAAGCACTGCATGATTTAATTCTTAACTTTTTTATTATGGCAGCTTCTGCAGTATGTTATCTGGTATGTTAGATTCTCGGTTGCTCATGTGGCATGCTTACACACTTCTAAGGTGACTAACCTCTATAAGGTTTGGAGAGGGTTGCATCCTGTCTCCGATGAAGCTCAACCATGATGCCTAAGCAGGAGGAAAACTTGTGTGTGGATTGTCATCCTCATTCTCTTCATTGAGGAGATCCAAATGAATGTCTTCCTCGTCCTTCTCTCTGCTGTCCCCTTGTTGAGAAGCTGGTCATAGACTGGGAGAAACACTGTTTTCCACCATGTCCCCCCAGTACAGACCTATAGAACCTGTGTTAATGCTGGTTGTATCACCAAGCTTCACCACAATATTCGAGAGATGGTTTGTGGCTGCCAACACCTGCAGGCTGGATAATGGATGGAACACGACATGTCTGTCACTCACTTTTCCCTGAGGATCCAGTGGTAGCTATTTAGTCTTAACAATTAGTGGCAGCAAAACAAATATACCAAAAAAAAGCACCTGGCGAAGGATTTTTTATAATCTTAAAAAGGTTTCTTAAAAATGTGAAGGGCCTAGCATGCTCTATCTGAAGCTGAACAGTCGTCACATGGTCACGTTTGTTTCTGCACACACCTTTCATAGGCCGTGAAACACACCGCACCAAGCTCCTGGAAAACCCCTGCCTCTGCAGTACACATCACCTCACAAGGTTTCTTCCCACTACAACCTCCACTCTGATATCTGCTCTTACTTTGGTCACTAATCTGTCACGGTTAAAGCATCATTCTGCAGACAGATTCACACCTGTATTATGTCCAGACTCCATCCATGATTTTTTGTCAATTTGTCTCTCTTTATAAATGTCGACTTCCAGGTACAACACTTCTGGAAGAGGAGTAGCTGAATCAAAATGCAGCATCCGGGCACTTTTCTGCGTTAAGAAACACATCCAAGAACCTCTGACCAATCACAAAAGAATTTTGTATTCACAGATTTGATAAGGGTTGGGTATATTCGTGTAAAATACATTTGATGTCACCTTATCTCAGTCTTATTTTTCTTTTTAAGTTCTGAAGAAAACTTCCACTGAGCCACTTTTTCTTGCGTTGTTCAGAAATGTTGTCCTAATCACCTCCACATAGACTGTCATTCTGTCTCAGATTTTTTACAACAAGATGACGCACAGCTGGCCTTTCCGTACAAAGAACATTTGACTAATCTTTCAGGAAGATGGCAGAACAGTCTTTAAAGGTGGAGTCCTGATTCACATTCTGATTCACTATAGTCTTCATAAACTCACATAACCACATGATCAGTTCTGAATAAGAAAGGCATGATTCAAAGCCGGCAGACACAGTTGAGGCTAAACATTCTCAGATTATGTGTCCAGTGTGAATTTTGCTTTTGTTGAGAGATGCTTAGACACAAAAACTGCTCACAATTTTTGTTTATTTTTGTGTGTGTGTGTTTTTGGAGACTTCTAAATTTGTATTCTTTGGTTTTTTACTAACGCAGTTCCTGTAAATTGATTTATTTTTATGAATTTCATTGAGCTTTTCTAAACTCTGATTGCACCCTAAATATGTCACATGGGCAGTGTGGGCGGTAGATCAGGGACATGCCAGCTGTTGTGCAATTATATTATGCATGTCTAATTGCATCTGCATGTGGAGTTTCCAAGATTTCTGAGGGATTTATCCCTCCATGACTAGAAAAAAGTAATCTCTTGATTGAAAGGAAACAAGTTTAACTGTTTGTTGTTGATACCATGTAGAGTAAAAAGAGACCAGAACAGCAAGTGGTGCACAGGGTGCTAACACAACCTTGAAAGGTTTGGAGCAGGGTGGAATTTTTGTTTAGCATTTAATAAGGGGGGGGGGGGGGTTGAAGTCTTAGATTTTATTTAAAATGTGAGCAGTGATCTTCATATTTATTATTTACAGTGTAGTGTGTAAAAGTTTTTAAACGCATTCATATTTTTGTTAAACATATTTGTTATACTTACCCTTCCAAAATCTGACTGTTTAAAAGTATACCATGGGCTACAAATTTCCATCAATCAATCAACCAACAACTGTATTAATGACACAAATAGGCCCATGTGAAAAAGGGTTTAAAAAATGCAAATAAATAACGCTACTAAGGTATTAATCACAAATACAAGTCACTGATTATAGAAAGGCTACACCGCCAGTGGTTCCACATTCTGGACTGAAACCTGACTGAGCTTAGTGCAATATCTTTTAGTATGAGGATAATCTTATTTGTAGAAACATGTAATCTCCACATAAACCTGAACATAAGGTTACATAATACAGCATGAAAAGTGGGGACACCAACATCAACTAGTCCATCTCAGCATCCTAAGCAGAATCCTCATTCCATCATTATATGCCACGTTGGGTTTCTGTAAACTGCTTTGCCTGTACAGTCTCCATAAATGAGCCGTATACAGAAGAGTGCAGTACGCTTTAAAAAAGAGCCACTTTTACTGAGAACACATCCTGAAGTTATATACAGGCCTGTTGGCTTGTGCATACATTAAACATTGTCTATAAATGTCCATGTCATCAGCCAGACTATAATGTCCCAGGTATTTAACAGCAGCACACACTTTAAGACCAACACCAGCCTTAGTGTATTGTCTACTGAACATTAACAATAAATGTTGGTAGTTGAGCAACAAAAATGGCCAAAAATCAGTTTAAAAATCAAAAGTCAGAAATTTAAAAAGAGAAAAGATTCCAGGATACAATAAAGGTGGTTATCCATCATTTTTGCTCAAAGGTGCCACCTGAGGACTGGCTGAACTTGCATCATGACATAGTTAAGATCCAACAGATTGACTGACCGATGCATACATCACAGATAGAATTTAAAAAATGTCTTAATTAGTTCAAGAAATACTTACTGGGATGTTGAAGAGGTGACACCGTTCAAAAGTGTTTTTTAATCCTAATTTCTTCTCCCAAAGGGCACATGTCTGACAGTAGAACATTACTGATTTTTTTCAACTGATTTATTCACTTTCAGCTTCAGCCTTAGTCAAACACACACATCTGAGCTGCCACTGATGCAGGTGTCCTTGTCCTTTAGGTCGATACCTGCGACTGAAGATGTTCCGCGAGGATCACGGCTCGTGGATGACCATGTTTTTCAGCACCATCCTTTTCCTATTCATCTTCTCGCACATCTACAACCTTTTCTTGCTGATGGCTGGAAGCATGGAGTAAGACATTTAATCTCTTCTTTTTTTTACCCCTACACTCCTCATACTCCCACCCAATCCTTCCCATTCGTTAGAACCTCTGTATGCTTCCTTTTGGCTGGTGTGATTGATTTTAACGTCTCGCCTGAACAGAGATTCAATACCAGCCTGATTAATCAGCTCGGACTTCAAATCACAAGCAGGCCACAGGAAAGGGGGAAGATGGTTAATCCTGAAAGATCACCTCCAGCACCCGCACTTATTTCCCAATGATCATGTCTTATTTCTTGACACCTTTTTGGCTAAAAAGCAAAATGTTGGTGCCATGTCTCTCAGTCTTGCTTGTATTTTTATTTATTATTTTTTCCTGCTGCTCCAGCTCACCTGCTGAGACTTCGGTGTGCACAGCAGAGCTTGACACCTACACATCAAACTGGTGACAGGAATCTGTTCATGCATTTGCAGTCTGTCCATTCAGAGGAAAGAAAACATGCCCTTGAAGCCAGCCATCTAGGCAGGAGGTCACAGTGACATGATTTACCATCTAGTTTTGTTCGGGTTGCAAAAAAAATAAAAAAATAAAAAGCTAGGACTGCACACTGTGGCAGGTGTTACTTCAGGTACAACCTGTCAAGAAAGAAGGCCCAAGCTCTAATGGGATCTGTAAATACCATGATGTGTTTAACATATTAACAAGAAGCTTCAACCATCCATAAGGTGTAGGCAGATGAAGGCTGTTGCCTTACAGGCAAGGTTTTGAAATTTTTTTATAGCCAAAAGGATGGTTTTGTGTAATCAGCTCATCTGTCACCCTGACCAGCATGATGACGCCAGCATCCATCTTGTTCTTTCTCCGCAGCTGGCCAGGAGAGGGGGGGCGATAGGCTGAGCAATGGGGCAGGTCTGCTGAGACGATGGATGTTGCTTGCTCAGAGAAAAGTTACATTTGCAGTTGCACTTAGTGCTGCTGTCACAAAGAGGATTTCTTTTTATCTTGATACTGCCTCCCATTTCAGCTCCAAAATGTCAAGGAAATGGCCCCTATTAGACAGTGAGTGCAATTTTTAACTGTCAAGATTGTTTTATTCAGTGACACGGATTAAAAACGTAACGGAAAAAGAGTGATTCGCTTAGATGTTTTGAGACACATGGCACATCTTTTACAGTATAGTCATCAGATCTACAAGTTATACATTCTTTGCATCAGTCTGCATCAGATGTGAATACAGTTCAAATGTTTACATCCACTAATGAGCATGGATGTCATAATTTGGTTTGCTTATAGATTACGTTAACCTTTTTTGTGCAAGTTTTAATTTATTTTGGATCTTCTCTAATCCATAAAATGTCAAAGTTATGCACATAGGCTTTAATATATGCATTTACAAATCTAAATCTTAAATAAGTGATGTTGATTTTGGATGTTTTTGTTTGTGATCTTAATTGACTTAAGCTGGTGGTTGTATTCCACCCCCCCTTTTTTTTGCTTGCTCAAAATAGATTTATTTAACAGCACTCATTAAATTGGCCATATCCTCCTCTTTCACTTTCAGTTAAAAGGTAGCATCATGCTGTGGTACTCAATGCACAAAGTGAATAGATTAATAAAAAGGCTCACCTAAAATCAACAGCTATGTAGTTAAAACTTTGGACACAATCAGATGTTCCAACAGGACTCCCACCCCCCTCCCTCAACCCCTGCCTTAAAAAATAATTTTTGAATAGATGGAGCAAACTGACTTATAAATTGACTTTTTAAAAACTGCTTAAACGTTGAGTTTGTGTCAGTAAACCAACCAATTTTAATGAACTCTATCAGTTATACAAACAGTTGTCATATTAGTGGTGGTATATGTACAGGTGAGTCAAAAATCTTAGGATGACCTTTTTATTTCAGAAACGAAAGGGAAAATGAAATATCTCAATACCGCAGGAAGTAATGGGTGAGGGGGCTTGTTCAGCACCAGGGACAGCACATTGAACATGTCAAATAACAGGCAATGTTCCCATTCGTTGATGCAACTTTCTGTTTTGATAACTTTGATCCACAAGAAACACTGCAAATCTGAGTGCGGCAATCGATTTCTCAGACCCGTCTGGTCTTCTTTGATATGCTAAATAAACACCTTTCCATTGAAAACATTTGACTTTGATCCAGTGTGGCAGTTTTTGAGATGGCGGCCATGTTTTTGACGTACCTGAAAGATACAGGTCCCCAAACGCATTACTTTCTGGGGTATTGAGGCATTTCATTTTTCTTTTCGTTTCTGAAATAAAAGTGTGTCCTGTGACTTTTGACTCACCCTGTATACCGTTAAGCCCATATAATTCTGACTCGTGGGAAAATACATAATAAATTCAAACTTCTTGTTTTTAACATTCATAGACATTCTACCCTGGAAAGAAATATAATTAAAACCATTACTTAAAAACCAAAAAGTAATATAGCATTCATGCTCATAATGAGTGCACTTACACTTCTGACAATAAGTATATTTGAAAAGAAGCGACCATAGTGACATATTAAATCGCCTCTAAGCTGTGAAACTCTAAAAATCCTTCTGTAACAACTTGTTTTGCATGTGTGTAGAGCAACATCATCAGTCTTGTAGAGGCTTCCTTTCAAAAACAGATGGCGCTGTTGTACAGTGAGCGAATCTACCCCAGCTAAAGCGCCAGCTCAGTCTCTGCACATCTTCACACCCACTCCTGCTGCCCTCCTTTCCAGCTTTTTTTTTCTTTTCTTTCTGCTCCAACAGAATGTCCACTAAGGACCTGGACCCTGCCAAAAACCATTAGTGCTCACATCTCTGTTCAAACCCGGCATGTCAAAGCTACGTCCTCACTCGCCATTTGGAAAACTGGCTCAGGGCTGCAACAGTGGGATGACTGCAGCAGAGTGAGCTAAAAGGTGCACAAGAGTGTTGGGTGGAGGGGGGTGGGGGGGGGGGGAGTGGTCCAGCTCTGATGATGCAGTGAAACTTAAGTCTTTTGTTCTGTGTCCAAAACCCCTATTTGCATCGCTCCTCTCCAGCCGCTGCCTCGCCCCGCAGCAAAGCTGTTGTAGTTTTGCCACAGCCCCAAAGAAAGAAAAAAAGTAAAATATCCCTTTGTTGCAGCAGCTGTCCTTCTGTGGGGCTGAATGCTGTTCCTCTTTTTCAGTTGTGCTGAAAGAACGAGCTGCTGTGGGGTATTTTTATTTTTTTGTTACCACCAAGGGTTGAAAGGCTTGGCATTTTGGCTCGGGGTTTGCCAGCTTTAACTTCAAGCCATGATGGTGCACTGCAGGGAGGTGTGTGTGTGNGTGGGAGGGGGGAGCTCTTCACAGACACTTGCACAAACACTACATATTGTTTACGACTCACACCTCTTTCAAGTTTGCCGGGTGTGTGTGTATAGAAGACACAATGGTGGTGGAGACTGCCCCCCCACCCCCACCCCCTGCTGTCTTCCTGCTGTCTCTCTGACATGATGCTGGATGCTGCACGCACCCGGCGCTCATTAATATGCTTTAATTTTCTCTGACCTTTCATTTGGTCTCGGGCTTGATTTAATTAAACCCAGCAAAACATCCACGAGGAAAGAAGATAAACTGTGTCGCCATCAGGGCAGCAAACAGTCACCGATAAGAGATTGTACATCTTTCTGGATGACAAGTATTTATTCCCGTTTAGTGATGTAAAAAAAAAAGAAAAAAGTATTCGTCAGGGCTATTACCAGTCGTCACAAAGAGATTTCCAGCCAGTGTAATCACACGGCGCTTTGTCAGCCAATATTTAGACAGCCACTTCCAGGTCAACAGCTCTACCTGTTACCTGGTTTATGTCATTAGCAGAGGCAGGGGAAAGGGGCCAACCATTATGGGGCTGCCTGGGAACTGTAATCCACCACTTGTTACCAAACCATAACATCTGGGCTATTTGCATTTTAATGTAACTGTCAGATTACAAGGGTGGGGTGGGGGGGGTGTGTGTTTGTGTGAAACCACAGGAGTGTGACCGCCCAGAGAGTTTGATGGCTTCATGAACGTTCTGTCGTGCCGCAAAGTCCCATTTCGTCATCTTACAGGTCCATCACCAGCCAAAATCAGCCCCTAATTAGATGGTGTTATTTAATTAAAGTGGCCCGATGCATGGTGCACACATTAATCAAGGCTAATTTGGAGGAAAAGGGGGGTATGTAAAGTAGGTGGAGGGAGCTGGGAAGTTTATGGGAATCTACTGAAGGGTTAGATTGGGACAGGGCTGCTTAAGCTTTTAATATCACATCTATACTTTTATCTATAACGAAAATGACAGATAAGTGTCAGGATGGGAGGAGGGATGTTAGATGAGTATTAGATGAGGGAGGCTTGCAGAAGGTGCGCTTTAAAATGGAGCAGCAAGTGTTGGATGTGGTGTTTGACTATGACAGGATTAGACCCCACTGTATGAGTGTGTTTGCCTTTGTTTGGATGATCCTTTGTGCAGCATGTGTGCTAGTCCCCCTTGTCTGTCTGTTTGCTTGTCTAGCTCTAAGCTGGGGTAATACCACGAACAAAAGGCTAAGTAAATACCCTGTTGTGGTATGCACACGCCTCCTGTTGCATGCATTTTTTACATGAGGGATGTGTTTCCAGCTATAGTTTCTATGAGCAGTCCTTTTTTGATTAAATATGTGAATAAAAAGCTGTAAGGAAAGAAAAAAGTACAAGTTTTAACTGTTTATTCAATGTACAAACTGTCAGAAAGGCTAATATATTTTTATCATCTTCTGCCAATAGGCAGGTGATAACATAATTGCTTGTTTGTGTGTGTGTTCTAGCACCTTGCAATGCCCATTTTTTCCAAAATTGTCCTTGTGGACACCCACTGCTCCTTATGGGGCCCAAAGCCCGGGCCCTATAAGTCCAGATGCCATTTTTTAGGTGAGGTATTGTTAGTGACAAGCAGGAGTCTCCAAAGTGTCTTGAAAGGTTTACGGTGGTTCTCAATCTCCTTAAGAATTGTACAGGCTTATAATCTTGTCTCTTCAATTTTGCA